AATAACTGAATCAAAACACTTCGCACCCATGCACCTCTAGGGTGACCCTGCTTGTTGTCTCAGATAAAAACAGTCATGTCCCTCAAACGTGGGACGCTTTAGCAAAGACCCTCGGTTAAAAGATCGTAGTCCCTCGATGACCCTTTGATGTCGCCTTCGGTAAACGATCTTAGCCCCTTATAACAAATTGCTAAAGCACCTTGTGAGTTGCCTTTATGATTGTACGATGACCCGCGTCTGTCCCTCAAACATTCAACGATAGGGCTTCCTGCTAACTAATGGTAGGATAGAAATATCTCAAGGAGGAGGAAAAGAACAAAAGACTTTTGAGTAGGTAGATAGATCGTAATCGCTTGCTCACAAACAAAAACATTTTTTCACACAAAAACTTCTCTTCTAAAATATTTTCAAAACAAACACTTTGTATACATTCTCAACGATACGAGAATCATTACAAAGTTTTCCAAACTTAGGCATCTTCTAAAATATTTTCAAAATAAACACTTTGTATGCATTCTCAACGAAATGAGAATCATTACAAAGTTTTCCGGACTTAGGCATTTTCAAAATATTTTCAAACTTACACATTCACAAATCATTTTCAAAAGTGAGCTAGCGATTAGGAGCCCGTAGATAACTACGTATGAAAAGGGTACTAACATGCTCTCTTTTCATAACCTATTCCCCGAACTCAAGAAAAATTCTTAAAGGTCTTTCTTGTTTTTTTCACCCTTTCCTTTATTGGATAAAAGAAAAGTCGGTGGCGACTCTTTCTATCCACAACATTTACGATAAAACACAAAATCCAAAGTCAATTATCCCACCGTATTACACCTTTCAACATACTTCTCACCATATTCATGATGGTTCGATTCTTACTTTCTGCGGTTCCATTCTGCTGTTGAGTGTAGGGTGACACCACCTCATGTAAAATCCCTTTATCCACATAATTTATCGAAGTCTTTCGACACATACTCTCCACCACCATTAGTTCTCAAAAATTTAAGCTTTCGACCACTTTTTCTTTCGACCATAGACTTAAACTTGGCAAATACATCGATCAGTTCACTTTTCTTCTTGATCAGGTAAGTCCACAATTTTCGACTGAAAACAACTATGAATGTGACTAAGTATTTGTTACCTCCCATTGAATCCATCTGGATTGGTCCACATACATTAGAGTATATGACTCGGAGGATTACCTTTGACTTGCTTCCTGCATCCTTGTTGAAGTTATTCTTGTGCTGCTTCGCCTGCGCGCATTCCTCACACACCTCATTTGGAATATCGATTTCTGGTAATCCTGAAACCATATTTCTTCTCTTCAAATCTCTGATGTCTCTGAAGTTGAGATGGCCAAGTCAATAATTCCATATCCATTCATCTATACTAACTGCAGTCGAAAGGAATTTATGCTCCATCACATTTAGTTCGATCTTGAGAGTTCTATTTTGAGACATGTGATCCTTCAAGATTAACCTTCCATTTGCATCGACGACTCTCATCATCTTGTCTTCGACCAACATTTTGTAATTCTTTTCGACCAACTTCCCTATGATGAGAAAGTTGCTCTTTATACCTGGTATGTACAGTACGTTGGAAATTACTGACTTTTTGCCATCTTTCCTCATAATCAGAACATCTCCAATAGCTTCAGCTGCTAGAGTATTGTCATTCGCAAATTTTACCATGTTCTTCATTGAGGGTTTTAGGTTGACAAACCAATATTTCCTTCCAAACATGTGTTATGAGCATCCTGAATCCAAGTACCATTGGTCCTTGAATCTCTCTTCATCTCTTGTCGTAACCATCAACATCATCTCTTCTTCTTCATACTTTGCGAACTTTGCATCATTTTCTTGATTCTTTCGCTTTTCTGGACAATCACTAGAATAGTGACCATACTTCTGAAAATTGTAACACCGAATGTGACTCTTGTCAGGTTTTCTACCATCACTTCTTTCTCTACCTCCAGCACCACCTCTTTGGTTGCCTTGATTTGGAATTCTTCTTTGATTCTACACAATTCCTTCCTGGTGATCTCCTCTACCAGTCAAATTTTTGTAGCTTCTTCTATCTTTGTTGTCGAACCACTTTCCTTGGCCTTTCTTGTCTCTTGCTGACAACGCCTGCAATGCCCACATCACTTTTCTACTCGCCTCCAGCTCTTTCAGCCATTCTTTGTTCATGAGATTCAAGCGTCCCTTGAAGCTCTTCCTTCGACAAAGTTGACATGTCCTTCGACTCTTCTATGGCAACTACCACATGGTCGAACTTCAGAGTTAAAGATCTCAAGATCTTTGAAATAGCAGCTCTTGTTGTTAACGTCTCTCCACAAACCTTAATTTGATTAACTAGTTTCGTAACTCTAGTGAAGAAATCAGATATGCTCTCGCTGTCTTCCATCTGAAGCAATTCATACGTTCTTTTGTGAGTTTGTAACCTCACCTCTTTTACCTTCTCAGCGCCTCCAAATGATTTCTTCAAAACTTCCCAAGCTTCTTTTGCAGATTATGCATCACTAATCTTTTCGAAATCATCTAGACTCAAACATTGATGAATTATAAAGAGAGCTTTATAATTCTTCTTCTTTGATTCTTTGTATTCCGCCTCTTCTTCTTGTTCTTCTTCTGAAGCGTCTTCTTCAAGCAGATCTAATTCACATTTCACAAGATCCCAAAGATCTTGACAATAAAACACAACATTCATCTGCTTGCACCAATTCTCATAGTTATCAACTTTAAGAATTGGAAGACTTGCTAAAAAATGTATGTTTGTATGATTTATTGCGATCGTTCTTGCTTGCCTTGAATCGCTCAACCGGAGCTCCTGATATCAGATGTTGGAAAGCCACCAAAACCTATGATAAATTTCTATCAATCTTGATGAACAAGATTGTTATCACCATACAATGACAATGAAAAGAAAAGAAAATTAAAGAAGAAAAGAGATTCAGGGTTTCTGCAGAGTAACTCTCTGCCCATAAATTGTGGAAAATTTTTACTCACTTTGCAATTACAAAATTCTGTCAATACAAGTTGTTATGAGTATATTACAAGAATATGGATTACTCCCTCTATTTATATTTTTAGGTTAGCTTGCTCTCTAAGCCAAAGCCCAAAACACAAAAACCTAAAATACATATTTTAGACCTAAATCGAAATACCACAGGAAGTAATCTGCTTCGACACTTCGACAACTAACAACTCGACTACAACTTCGACTAAGCTAATTCGACACACCTTGTGTTCGAACAACAACCTGTTTCGACACAAAGAATTACACTTTCAATACAGTCTTGATCTTTTTCATACTCGGCTCTTGCAAGTCTTACTCATCTTTCAACTTCCCATTACTTTCGGTGAAACTTCTTCAGTCGTGATCTCCCATGAAACGGGTACGACATTCAATCAATCGAATTTATAAATTATTTAAGACATTCAATCAACTAAATTATTTTGCATATTTTATATATTTTTTAGTTTAATAGTTTTAACATTTTCAGATTCCAAATATTTTCTAGTTTAACATTTTCCGATTCCATATAATGTAACGCTATTTTCAACGGTTAAATAACTACTGGCTTTTTCCCATACCAATTGTTTTAAGAGATACTAATAATTAGTAGTTTTAAGAGTGATTCATCCGCTTATCAACCAATTTTCAACGTTTGACAAAAAAGTATAGTATTGATTGAATTTTTTAATAATCATAAAAATTATTTTTGTTGGTTATAAATATATCTGAAAAATATATATTTTATTTTAAACTGTCAGAATACAGAGACACATTAAACAAACATGTACTATGAATGACTAATATAATTGAACAATAATAGTTATAAAAAAAATATAATTAGCCTTAGAAAGGGTAAAAAAAGAAAAAAATCATGTCACGTTAAAGTGCCCAACGCCGCTGCCAGCTACTGGTTCAATCAATGTTCCTCATCCGTGACCAAATAATGATGCATGCCGTTTTTTTTACATTATTAACCCTAAATTCTGGGGGTAAGGATCCTCTCCTATGACTTTATTGTCCAGTGGGATCACAGCCATTAAAAATTGTGTTCAAAATATAATAAAAAAATATGTATTAACTTTTAAAGGGTGGAATTTAAACTGCACCATGTCCACTGAAAATCTCACTGGAGATAATTCTTACCCAAATTCTGGATGACGTTGGCACCATGCATCATCATACATCACTATAGTTATTCTACTGCACCATAGTTTTTCTACAACCATATAGATAATCTCATATTTTAATCATTCTAGTTCTAGTCAAAATTGGTAAGCAGTATGCCTCTTAAACATGACGCCATTGGTTACGCCTCTAACTTTCTAATCATAAATCTGTTATATCCTCCTGACACAGTTAAAAGCAACAAAAATGATTTTCACCCATTATTAAGAATATTAATGTGTAATTAACTTTTTAAATTTTGGTGAAAACATTAATTAAATTTATTATAATGTCTTTTTTATTAAATTTAATGGAATATTGGAAAATGAAATAAAAGGACATATTAGAAATTATAATATTAAATAATTTAATAATAATTAATTTTTACTTATAACAGTAATAAAAAATAAAAACATTTTTGTTGCTTATAAATATGTCTAAAAATTATAACCAATAATTATGCTGAGATATCACATATAAGTACACAGCATCGAAATTCACAGCCACTAAACTCCTTGAACAAAATTAAAACAATATTCTTCAAAATCATCACACCATTTTAGACTTTTTTTTAATTCTTCTAAATGATTCTATAAGGTAACAATTAAGCTCTACATCAAAAAAACTAAAAGCCAATGGTTGACAAAGTATAAGTTAACAACATAATTTTGTTGAGCTAGGCCAAACATACAAGAAAGCTCAAACCGCTGAAAAGTAAAACCACCCTCACTTCCAAGATTGACCAGAATGCTTCCAATTTAACTCATAATTAACTGACAAGTTCTCTGGTCCCAAAAAAAATTTAAAAAAATGAACTTCTATTGACCTTTCCGAACCAATTTTGACCGAGAAGATTCGGCATTATCATGAGGAGTATTTGAAATTTCTGAATACTGCAATGCTTCTTTCAACCCTTCCACTATCTGACTCATAGAAGGTCTGTCTTCTGGATTCTTCTTCAAGCAACTATCGGCCAACTTCGCTATTTTACGTGCTGCAACGTTTGGATATTGGTTCCTAAGACGTGGGTCCATTATCATGTTGAATCTGTTACTGTCAGCAGGATACTGTTTTACCCAGTCTAATAGCTTTTGTTCAGCTGTGGGACGGTTCCTTTCCAATGATCTTCTTCCTGTGAGGATCTCGTAGAGTACTACTCCGAAACTCCACATGTCACTCTGGACTTTGAGATGACCTGTTTCGATATACTCTGGCGCAGCATATCCTTGTGTCCCTACTACCTGTTAACACAAGATTATGGATTCAATTCATGTGTAATTGTGTAAACTCAGCAAATATAATACTTTGTTGTCTTTAGATGAATGGAAATCAACGCAAGCTTGCTTAAATCATGGCTCAAAAGACTAGTCAAATGGTTAAGGTACGTTTTTGAATAAACAACTTGATTAAGTGCTTATGATTAAGTGTTTATAGCATAAACATTTATACTATATAAGTACTTATGTATAAGCTATTTTTATCACAAAATAAAATAAGGTCAAGTTGTTATGATATGAATTGTTTTCATAAATATCATGAAAAACTTACAAAAATAAGCTAAAAACAACTTACGAATATGGTATAAATTGTTTCTCTGAAGTTCTCTCAAAAACAGTCACAAGTACGCTCATACATAAGCTCAAATAAGTCAATTCAAATTGACCATTAATCATGAACTTACATTTGGGAATGGTGCATAATGATACTATATAGATAAGTTCCTACAATTTAAGCACTTTTGAATATGAAGGTGATGTATGTTAGTAGTTTAGCATTTGATGAAAACATGTCCAACATTTATAAACCTACCGCAGTAGATACATGAGTTTGATCCCCTTGTGGCCCTTCCCTTGCAAGACCAAAATCTGAGAGCTTTGGGTCGAAATCCTCGTCCAATAGAACATTTGAAGATTTGAAATCTCGGTAGATCACCTTCAAAGCATGAAAATAAAAAGATTATCAACCAAAGTAGTTATCCATTTACACAATTTGCAATCAGAACCATCACAATCATCTGGATTATATACACAAAAACTTTGCTTATTCTAATAACATTGCGACAATAAATTTTTTAAATCTGCATTGTTATGAAAAGCGGTCCAACTAAGAGAGACAATGATGATCGAGAAACATGTGAATGTTAAGTTGTTATTGAAAATGTCACGGAAACAAATTCCATCTCTTTGAGGTACCTGTATCTCCAATCCTTCATGTAGATAAGCCAATCCTTGAGCAGCACCCAGCATGATCTCCAATCTTGTTTTCCATGGAAGAACCGGTAAAGTTTTACTGAAAAGATGGTTCTCCAAACTCCTGTTTGGCATGTACTCGTACACCAACAGCCGTTGGATTCCTCTTTCTCCATCTACAGAGCAATATCCCAAAAGCTTAACCAAATTTGGGTGATTAACAATGCTGAGAAACTGAACTTCTGCAAGCCATTCTTTATGACCCTTTTACAAGAAAACAAAACAATGGTAAGAATGCATGTCAATTAGTATTTGGATAATAATTCAGCAGCAAAGAAGTAATAACAATGCCAATTATTCGACATAATTCTATATCATCTTTCAACCAATATGCTGAAAAGTTTTTAAAAAAGGGTCCACTGCCGTGAAAACGGCATTGGAAGGTGTTGATACTGTTATTCACCGTTTTTATGATAAAGAACAAATTGTGGTTAATTCACACCGTGACAACCACAATCAATATCACAACACACTGAAATCCCAAAGCCTTTACGCGACCGCAACCGTTAATTAAGTAAGTATTGTTAACCCTTAAAAATGTTGATCTATCACATGGAATTGGTTAGGTTAATATTTTAGTTCCCAATTTAGAAATGTTGAACCGGCATCAACATGAAGGTTACAAAATTAAGGACAGTACAATAACATAACATAGCTGCACAGCAATTTGTCCAATTTCAAAAGGGTAAAAATTTCCACCAGAAGATGACAACAATAATAGAGTATAATCAAACACTTCCAAAACTGGATAATCAACTTCACAAGAGTCCAAATTTCAATAATAGCACCTTGAATCAAAGGTGTGGGAGCAAAAGGATTGAAGCAATGAACAGTTAGAAAATCAAGCATGATAAAACAATCACATAAGCAAAAAGAGAAGAGAGGTATATGCATACCTGAAATCCACGCGTGTTAAGCCTTTTGATGGCAACTTGAACTGGATCACCTTGTCCATTGGGAGGCAAAATCGATCCTTTATAAACACTTCCAAAACCCCCTTCTCCAATCTTGAACATCCTGTTAAAACCATTGGTAGCTTCTCTAAGTTCTTGAAGAGTAAAAACTCTAAAACTATGCTCTTTCTCTTTGTACAAATCCTTCACACTCTTTGACGAAGACACGGAACCGGTAGAGTTTGCTGCGCGATTCGACGCCGGGTTCTTCTTCTTTTTGCCTTGGTTCTGCAATTCAGGAGCAGATTTGGATTTCTCTTTGAAGAAGAAACACTTCATTTTGTGATCATCAATATGAAGTGAATTGTGTGTATGTGTTAGATGAATGTTTAGGGTGAAGGTGGAAGAGAGATGAAAAAGTGGGAATGGGTATGGGAAGAGAAAGAGGTGGTTGAGGATGATAAAGAGATAGAGACAGGAGTCTGAGAACGCGTTGAGGACGTAACGTAAGTGAAGAGGAAGACAAAGACGGAGGAGAAGAAGAATAAAGACCTTTCAAACCTTTGAGTTAGGACATAGAAATTGTTGTTCGTACGTGAAATTTTGAGACATATGCCATGTGAACAAAATCCGTACTCGTGGATATCCATTCCAATCCGTTATAAAATTCATGGAAAAAAATCCACTTTCAATAGATTTAAGTTTGAGTTTGGATTTTTTTTAATTACAAAATATGAAATGGAAACAATATTATCCACTCCCAAATTAAATCTGTTTCATTTATTTTATATTTTTGATAATTTAAAATATGAAATATATAATAAATATTTTGATAATTTAATTTATATTAATTATTTAAAATTTGATATATATATATATATATATATATATATATATATATATATATATATATATATATATATATATATATATATATTGAAATTATTTATAATATGATTTAATTTAAATAAAAAAAATTTATTAAATAGATTGTAGTGGAGTGAAAATATCTGAATTCAACTCAACTTGTTTAGAATAAATTTGTATTTTAGTTCGCTATTTCTGAGACCAAAAACAAAAATTGTTTGAGAATTCAGATTTAGGTTCGGAGAAAATAAAACTATTCCTGATCTATCCAGTTTCTCTTCCCAGGTCCCATAATTAAGCTATAGTGTTCGGTAATAAAACATGATTTAATGAAAATTGGTGTGAAAATAAAGAGGGGTAGATTTAATTCAAGCATAGCTGGATGCCGCCCACTGAGTTAGTTTCTTTTTAGTTGTCTCCTAATAAAGAATACTAAACTTGAAGTCAAGATGTGTCATTGAGAAAATAGTGATGAAGTGGTTTGGAGAACAACACTATAGTTTGAGTTCATGTGTTAAATTCTACATATTTACAATATAATACTCTCTCTAATCATGTATATAAGATAAATATATAAAATCAAATTTGTCATTAATATAAACAAAAAAGGTAACTACTTTTTTTATTAATTTAATACTATTATTTCCACTATATTTTTTATTTGTAAGAGTTTTAAATAAAGATAATGATGAGTCATTGTCTCGTAAGATAATAGATAGGTGTTACTTTTATAGGGATATGAGGGATTCATAACTTGCGCTTAAGATAGACAACGTGTATAGTACAATTATCTCTCCACTAGTCGCGTAAACTAAGTTATACCAAGACTTCTTTAAAATTAGATGGCTAACAATCTCTCTTAATTAAGGAGGAGTGATTACCACTCTTTAGGCTTTCAAAATTTTGCTCCTAAGGGCCTCCATAAATACTTCTTTCTTAAATAAAAGAGGGACAAATCATTACACACTGAGCTTAACGTTTATACACAAAGTCTCTCACTTCACGTGATTTTCCTCTCTCATACCACTATAAACACCATAAACATCACCAAACATGGCCTCTCGCCGCCGTGGACAAACCATAACCACCATCGTTTACTAAGGCATGTGAGTATCCCCTACATGAGTAGGGATCATGTTTATGGCTTGCCAGAGGCGGTGAGAGATCATGTTTGTTGGTGTTTACGGTGATGAAAAAGCAAGCTCATGTGAGGTCAGAAGCTATGTAGCTTTTAAGGAGTGTATCGTGTGTGTTACGAGTTGTCTTCCTCAACTCTAAGGTTTAGGTATTTATAGAGGCGTATGAGCCTAGGATTCAGAGAACCCACAAGAAGTGGTAACCGCTCCCCCTTAACTAGAGGAAAATGTTGGTTGTCTATTTTCTAAGGAGTCATGACATGACTCCGCACACGCAGTTAGGGACTGGACAAACAGTATTATCCACATCTCCACTTAGGGTTAGCCCTCGTGCCACATAAAGGACATGTCAAGGGCAACGCCTCATGAGGTGGGCGCCCAACAAAAGACATATGCTACCCTATTTGGAGGCCCTTACAAATATATCACTACACATGTTTAGGTTGGTCCATGATTGTTTCTAGATCTTGTATCCAGACCGAAATAATTAGTATTTTATCTTCTTTCCAAATCAAAATTTAATCTCATCTCCAAAGTTGTTCTTTTTTAAAAGTCTTTAATCTTATTACCTCCTCTGTCCCAAAATAAATATCATATTTTTAAAAATAATATCCTAAAATAAGTGTCATTTTTAGATTTCAATGCAATAATGAAAACTTGCATTAATGATAACTTAAATACACCAACAATCAATAAAAATAATTTGGTAAGAATAATGTTAACTTGTGTCGTAGGGGCACGTGTTACTCCCTAAATGTAGAAATGTTTTATTCGAAACTGTGTTTTGTCTCTAGCAAAAGGTTATAATTAGTTTTTTATTACTTATTCCAATACGAATATTCTATTTATGGATTTCTTAACATAAGCCCTTATGGCACAAGTTAGCATTACCCATTTGGAGAAAAAAATATTTTCTCTCTTTTATTTATCATGTTTTTTTTTTAATTTGTGTAAAAGTGTCAAATATAACACTTATTTTGAAACTGATAGAATAATATTTTTATAAAACTGTACATTCCAGAAATATTCATCTTAGACAGGTTATATAGTCGGCCAGAGGCAAAAGTAAAAAGATATAAACGACTATATAGTAAAGGGAAGTCGGGTAGAAACCTTATCCCGATACCAACCTCGCTTGGTCGGGAATCGAGTAGTGACCTTACCCGGGTACCAGTTCCTTTGAACGTGTTCTTAGACAGGACCTGGCGGTATAAAGTCAATAAGGAACCCGAACTTAGGAATAAAATGTAACAGTTGTCGGCTGAATAATTGTATACGTTATGATAGCTTAAATACACTCATTTTATGGCAGGCGGCATGCGTTATGCTTTCCTTAAACACGAGAATATGTAGAGACTCCTCTTTAATGAGGCTCTTAAAGGGTCATTTGAAGACTATAGAAAGGCCTCCTCTAGAGGGATAAGCAAGACATTCATCTTGGGTCAATATGCATCATTACCGTAGCACTAAAATCCTCAAAGATCATACAGAAATCTACCCTTGTTGTGGCTCTCCTTGTTCATACAAGGAAGTCACTCGTTTAGTGTTTTTACGCAAGAACATTTGGCGCCCATCGTGGGACATCGGTAAAACTTTCCTAGGACACACATCACATTCAAAAGAATGCCATCTAAAGGACATCCTCCAGACATAGCACAACTACAGGCCATGGTGGATGCCCTCCGACAACAGAATGTAACACTGATGACAACATGCAAATCCTACAACTACAAATCCAAGCAGACAAGGAGAAAGAGGAGGAGATTCTTGAACCCCAACCTCTCTCACAAGAAATATGGGATGACCAAATCCCCTGAAACTTCAAGTCACCGTTGCTCACATATTTTGATGGAAAACCCGACCCCCAATAGCATATTATCACCGTCAACAATCAAATAATGATAGTAGGTCCCTCAGACTCGTTAAAGTGTAAACTCATGGCAGGTACTTTCAAAGATGTGGCTCTAAGGTGGTACATGATCTTTCATCGGCTGTCTGTGGTGAGATATCAAGACTTGACCAAGAAATTGGCATAACACTACTTGGAAAACAGACACCGGAAGGTGTCGACAACTACCATATTCAATGTCTGGCAGGGACATGCAGAATTCATGCGGGAGTACCTATCCAGATTCAATGAAGAAACCATCAAGGTTTTTTACCCTAACCAAGAGTTATTGTCAGAGCATTCCAACATGGTCTCTGAGTTGGACAATTCAATAAATCTCTAGCACAGAAGCTGGTAGCCAATATGAACGAAATCATCACTAAGGTCGAATACTACATCAAAGGTGAATAAAGTAACTAGGAGAAATGATCTAGAGATGCCACCGAGAAAGAAAAAAGTAAAGAGGAGGGGTTGGGACGCAAAAAGGAACATCCTTGGGTCATTCTGTGTGACCGATCTGCACCAAGGCTGTAATACAGTGGGAGAACTGGATTTTGGGTTTTGCGCTTTATCACAAATGTTTCAGATAGCAAGAGTCTTCATCGACTTTTCTTTTATCCAATAAAGGAAAGATGAAAAGAACAGGAAAGACCTTTGAGAATTTTCTTGAGTTCGGGGGGTAGGTTGTGAAAATGGAAGGTGTTAGCACCCTTTTCATTCGTAGTTATCTACGGGTTCTTAATCGCTAGTTCACTTTGAAAAAATTCTTTGTGTTTGTGTTTATTTACAAATATTTTGAAAATGGCTGAGTACGGTAATTTTATAATGATTCTTGTATCATGGAGAATGTATACAAAAAGTTTGTTTTGAAAAATATTTGTTTGAAAGGAAGTGTTTGTTTTATGGAAAAATGTTTTGAAAATGCCAATGTAAGGCAATTTGATTTATAATAACCCTTGTATCAGTCCTCAAGAGTGTTTATAAAGCGTTTTGAAAGTAGTTGTTTTGAAAGTGCGAAGTGTGGAAATTGTTTTAGTTTGTAAGCAAGCGATTACGAGCGATCTACCTACTCAAAAGAAAGTCTTTATTCTTTTCCTCCTCCTTTAGATAGTGATACCCTACCATTAGTTAGTAGGAATCCCTATCATTGGATGTGAGGGATAGGCGTGATTCATTGTACAGTCATAGAAGGCAACTTATTAGACGCTTTAGCAATTTTCGTAAGGGACTAAGATCGTTTACCGAATGCATGATCGAAGGGTCATCGAGGAACTACGATCTTTTAACTGATGGTCTTTGCTAAAGCATCCCACGTTCGAGGGACGCGACTGTTTTTATTTGAAGGCAACAAGTAGGGGAAACCCTAGAGGTGCATGTGTGCGAAGTGTTTTGGTTTCAGTTATTTTTGTCTTTTGAGATTTAGATTTTCTAATGTTTGCTTTTAGTCT